GAACAGATAGCGGAGATTCTACGTCTACGCACTGGCTGGCAAGGCCATCCCATTACTACTCGCCCGATGGTGGAGGCGCTAGTTTTATTTACGCGCTCCATGAGGTTTTGAGAAGCTGCTGTGTGTACGATCGCTACTGCGGTAAAGTCGCTGGTTTCCTTAATTATATTTTGTCCCTCCAAATTGCAAAGCATTGCAGGTAGGATGAGTGGGGAAAGTATATCAGCCGGTTTCGTAGGCCATGCTCTGATGTTCCACCAAACGCTCCTAATAATAGCTGCCTCCTAAGTCACTCACTCCAATCAAAATATGCGACGAATTCTTATCAGGTGCACTTCAGTGTCACAATAAACGTATGTTGCCGTGGCGAACAACTTTATTATGCCTGTTTGACGCCTGTTCGCTTGCCGACTGACGTTATGCAGACCGTTGAGGACATTTACGCCGAGTGACAGTCAGCGGGGTTTTAAGTCTTCTCTTCGACCTCGTCTATTGCATCCACTTTGGCACCGTCCATCGCGGGGAACAAAACGAGGCTCTTCAGTGCCATAGTAAACGTATATTACTATGCGAAGCAGCTTTACCATGCCTGCATGACGCATGTTCGCTTTCTAACTGACGTTATGCAAACCATTTGACGGCATTTCATCGTGGTAATTATGATCGGGCTGAGGAGGGGCAGGAGGATGATGGTGAGTTGTTTTGACATCTGGCCGTCTCTTCAACGAAATGATTTATCAACATTCGTTGATGAACGATCACTGACAGCTGGCCGAAGTCAAGCGTCCCCTTCTGCCTTCGGGCTCGTTCTCGAGTCCCACGGACAGCTTCACAGTAGAATTGTTCGCAATTTTCATCTGCCCACACGACTAACAGTCTCGTTGAACGCCAGACTGAATAGCGAACGGTCCTGCAAGATGATTATGGACCAGAACTCGTGCAGTGCTTGAGCAGTAGTTGGTCTTGAGATCATGGATAAGAGTTATGGCGGCGCACCGTCTTGTGCCATTATCCGCCATAGGGATTAAGAATGGACCGATTCGAATACGGTTGGTCTGTTATCGCTAAGAAAGTGGGAGCGTATTCTCCCCTGCTTTGTCACTACGGTGCGCATGACT